ACGTTCCAGAAGGCCCAGTGGAAGCCCCCACTCGAGAAGGCCCCCGCGAGGTCCACGGTGGAGGTGGCGCCGAAGAATACCGAGACCACGCAGCCGCGGCCAGAATAGCTGCCAGACGTGATCAATGCCAGACAGGGCGATGGCGGGGGGCCCGAGCCGTCATGGACCCCAGATGGCACGTTGAGATCGACGAAGGTTGCTCCGTCGCCCCCCCCCCCCGCGCCACGACGGAGCAGATGTGTTCGAGGTTGAGTGTCCCGAGCGCGCTGGGCATTTTGCAGCCGCCCGCAGACTGCGGATCCAATCAGCCCACCCTCTGATCCGGGCGCGCGGACCACTTGCCGGGGAGGGTGCCGGGAGGGGGTGGGGGGCGCGGGGCAGGCTTGAGGGCGAAGACCGCCAGCGGGGAATCTACGCGGCCCCCTTCCTTGGCAACTCGCGCTCTCGCGCGAGTTTGAGGCTCGGACAGCGGCTTGCGATCTCGCTCGCATTGGTCGCTCCTTGAGCAAGGCGCTGCGGGGCGCTTGGAAGGGCGAGGCGGCGATCGGGCGGCGCTTTCACGCCCCGCTGACTCTCGAGGGCCAGGGCGGCTGGAAACGGGCCTGGGAAGGCAGCCCCGAGGGCTCCGAGGGCGCCGGCACGGGAGGGGGCTGGAACCGGACCCAGGGCAACGAGACGTGGAAAGCGAGAAAGAAAACTGCAAAGGGAAAAGAAGGAAGGGGCAAGGGCAAGTGCAAGGATGGCGGCGCGGGGAAGAACAAAATCAAGGTCTACGGGGCGCGCTTCTCCTTCAACAACGGAAGGCGACGCGCAAGGCAGGTGAGAAGAAAAGCAGGTTCGAGCACAAGCGCACCCGACGCGGGAAGCCGCGCGTGCCCGAGTCGCCGAGCCAGTCGAGGCAGCGGCCCCGACCTCGGCCAGGGCAGGGAGGAGGGGCATCGGGGGGGGCGCAGCTGATGACGGTTGCGATGGGCAGCCAGATTGCTTTCGCACCCTCTGCTTTTTTGGCCGGTCGGCCCCGGCCGATGGGGCGTCAAGGATATATAACCTGGACAAACACAAGGTGTCGGCGGGAATGGAGGTGGAAGTGGCGGGGGGGGTCGCTTCGAAGGGGGCTCGCGGGACATGGGCGAGGAGAACAACCAGAAGCGCGTGTGGGGGCGGGGGGATTTGGCGCGATTTTGGCGACCCCGCCCCAGCGCAGGCCAGCTTCGATCTGGACATGGAGGCGCGCGAGGCAGCTCTGGGATTTCGACGGCGCTGTCTGGGGGGCGCGCTTCCAGTGCGAATTCAGCGCCGACCGCCCCTTGCCGACGCGACTGCTTATGCGTCTTCTCTCACCTGCGGACCACGTCGATGTCGGCCCCCCTACTGGCGACGACGCAGAGCGCTACGCAGGCCCGCCAAAGTCGCGGCAAGCGGCGCGCCCCCCGCCCCAGCGCGGACGAACGTCGCAGGCAGGAGGGGCGCTTGGTTCGAGTGCGGAGGCGGCCAAGCAAATCATTGCCAGCGCGAGGTTCCAAGAGAGGGGCGAGGGGGGGCCGGCGCGAGGCCAAGGGGGACCGTCGCAGGACCGACGCGGAGACGACTGCGGAGGAGCCCAACGACAAGGCGGAGCAGCAGAAGGTCAAAAGGAGGAAGATCATGCTGGAGGGCACCGCGGAGGGGCCCAGCGATAAGGGGGGCCCCAGGAGGGAAGGAGGATGAGGAGGAGGAGGAGCAACGTCACAGCGGAGGGGGTCGCGGAAGCGTCGGGGGACAACGAGGAGGAGCAGAAGGGCCGGGGGAGGAAGGCCACGACGGCGGAGCTGCGGCAGGTCAACGAAGGCCGCGCCGACGAGCTCGAGGGAGATTTCGTCGGCCGCGCGCGCCCCGCCGGCGGCGGCACCCCCCAGGCGGGCGAGCCCTTGCATCGCGGGGCGCCGCGGCGCCCGCGAGGAGGCGGCGGGGAAGCACAGGGCGACGCTGCGGGAGACGGGCGCGATTAAGAAGGCGGGGGATTTGAGCGGGCGCCTCCTCCTCCTCTGCCATTGCCGGCCGCGGGAGGGATGCCATGCGGACGCCCACTTGGGAGTGTCCGCGAACTGGGCGAGCCCTGGCGCGCAGCGACGGGAGACCACCGCGCCCCGCAAGGACCTCGCGGACAACGCGAGGGGCAATAACCCGAAGGACGAGGCGGAGCTGAAGCGCATCGACGACGGCTTGGAGGCGAGGGGCGGGCACGTCGGAGCAGAAGACGACGAGGCTGCGCGGACAGGAGAAGGCCCGCAGGGCTGGGGGGGCTGGCCCGGAAAGGGGCCGCCCCGCCCACCGCAAGGATCGGTTCCGCGAAGACGGCAGCGGGAGGTGCTCGCCAGGCCGTCGGCCAAGCAGCTCGAGGACTACGCCGCCCGGCCTCGGCAGGGCCATCGCGTTGGAGGCGCAGGCCCGGCTCGAGAGGCTTTCGGCGGCGAGGATCAGCTGCTGCAGGCGGCGATGCACCTGGCGGCGGGCCGGTTCGAGGCCTCGCCGATTCAGGATGACGTCGCGAACGATTTCCGGATTTGGCTCGCCGACCTGCTCGGCGCGCCAGCCGCGAGCCGCGGCGTCGCATCGGGGCAAGCCCTCTACTCGGGCCTTGCAGGGGCGTTGTTGCAGAAGCTTGGGGGTCCCGACTGGGCCTTCTTGGAGGAGCTCGCTACGGGTGCCCCTTTGGGCGTCGGGGTGGAGATGCCCAGGGCGCCGGCGGCGTGCGATCCGAAGGCCAAGTAGGCCCTCGACGATCCTGGGGGGGAGCCAGAGCGCGAGGCGGAGAACTACAGGTCCACGGAGGGCTACAAGGAGAGGATCGAGCAGCTGTTCGAGGAGGATGCCTGCTCGAGCTGGATGGCGGAGATGACGGGCGAGCAGGCCCGGGAGCTGCGCGAGGACAAGCTGCGCATGGCCGCTCTGGGGGTCGTGGCGGAGCAGGAAAATTCAGTGGCGCCCGCGACGGCACTCGCGGCGCGGGCGCGATCCATCGGATCCGAGTTCGAGATCAGGTCCGATCGCCGACAGTGGGAGAGTTGAAGACGCTGCCGCGGGAAAAGTTGTCCGACGCGGATGGCCGGCGGCACTTTGCGCCCTGGGGGGGCGTGGTCAAGGCCCACTGCAGAGTCAAGGTGAGAAAGGAGGACTGGGGGTACCAGGCTTGCCGCCTGGTGCCCGGGAAGATATGGGTCAATTGTGTAGGTGCGTATGGCATGGCCTCGGCGGGGCATTGGTGGTCCAGGTTGTCTTCAGGGATCATCGTGGGGCTATTCCAGTATTTGGTTTCCGAGGTCGGGGGCCAGGGCGCGCTGTCGTTCGCCGACGAACTGCTGATGCTCGCAGGGCGGATCGCGGAGATCTTCGGCACAGTGCCGCCATCTTGGCATGGCCGGCCTTGGGCGCGCCATGGAAGTGACAGAAATTCCGCAGGGGGTTCCAGTAGCAGTGGATCGGGGACTGGGTTGGCGCGGAGGGTTTCACCCTAGGCATCTCCGAAAGCAGGTCTTCGTGGATGGCCAACTGGATCTGGAAGCAGGTGGGGCAGGGCACGGTCGAGATGAAGGACTGCCTGGCGGCGATGGGGCGGATGTCATTCATATTGGGCGCCCTGGACTTGCTGGGACCCTTTTGCGCGCCTTCTCTACGCTTGGGCAGCGTCGGTCGATCGCGACGGCCGCGCGATGGCCCCGTGGAACGCGGCCTTCATCCCGGAGCACGTGGCCAAGCAGCTCGAAGGGGGGCGCCGGGCGGCAAGGGCAGGCCGAGGACAGCATCTGCAGGGCCAGTCTTCTTAGCCGACGCGAAGGAGGAGGGGCGGGAGGTGGTAATTGGGGGCTGGTAGCGCGCTGGTGGGCGCCCGCCGCGGCGTGCTCGCTGGTTCTCAGTCGCTCTGTCTCGGGGAGGAAGGGGCGATGACAGTCCTGCGGCAGGGTTACCTGTCGACTCCCCAGCACGAGGTGGACAATGGTCAGGCGTGGGCGATGTCTTCTCTCCTCGAAAACAAGATGAGCGATTCGCAGTACGAGCGAGTGCTATCATGCGAAAATGTGAGTGTGAGTCAGCCTGAGTATGAGTGGGCAGAGTAATGAGTGAGTCTGAGTGGCCTGAGTATGTGAGTCTGAGTGTGAGTGAGTCGGAGTATGAGAGAGCCTGGGTCTGAGTATGATGGGTATGCGTGCGTCCAAGTATGAGCAAACATAGCACAGTGAGTTTGTGCTCATCCTTCCTCCCCCTCCTCTCCTTTTGTTTTTTCTCCTCCCTCCTCAACTCTATTCGGACAGATGTGATGTCTCAACTCGTCTGTAACATCGTACGCTCGGACACTAGCCCCTCTGCCTAGGCATGAGACTTTGCTGCGGCTCGTCGCTTTCTGCTCGTATGGGTCCTCTGTGCGGAAACCTTCTCCGGCATTGGCCATGGAGACCAGTCGACGCACGCGCGAGTTTTAGTCTACAATTGCCCGCTCGTTTCTCCCATCTGTCGCCTCTTTCTTCGCCTCCCTCCACCCTCCCCTCTCCCTCTGGCTCGCAACGCAAGGTTCGTCGGCGAGCACAGCGTCCCGCGACTGCGAAGGTCCAGTGCCCAGTTGCCCTGGGTGTCGTCCGTCCGTTTCGCGGTAAGGGCTGTGTCAATAGGCCTCTCGAGGGTCAGCGGATTCCGTTTGGTTTCCCGAGTGTGCAGGACACTCCAAGGGAAGTCCAGGCCTCCAGTAGTTGTCAGTCGGCCCGAGGTCGACGTGCGTTGCCGATCGCTATACAGATAAGACGAAGCAGAGTACTAGTGAGTCTGAGTCCGACTGCGTCTCTGGGCGTGAATGAGTCTGAGTGCGAGTGAGTCTGGGCATGAGTGAGTCTAGGGAGGAGGAGGCGGGAGGGTTCGGCGAAAGTGTCCCACAAATAGCAATGAGCCATACATGGGATTTGGGGAATGAAGCCAGCCAGCGAAGGAGCAGACAAGCTTAGAGGAGAGGAGGGCGCCTTTCGCAGTGACAGGCGGCGCCGCCAGCAGAACACTCCGAGGGCTGCTCTGCGCCGAGCTCCTCGGGGCCCACTGCTGGCGCGGACGGCCGTGCTACAGAGGTCGCGGTCTAGGCCGGCCGAGGGGAGAAGCGGGGATTAGAGGGGACAATTGGATATATACGTCCCCCGACCCTCCTTCGACCAGCTCTCGGGGAAACCAAACTTGAATTCGCCAGACCCCCCCCCCACCGTTTAGGCGGCGCGCCCCGCGAGGAAATGCATTGGAGTTGTTTGGACACACACACACACAACGGAGTGTGGGTGCGTATCGAGAACAAGTTTAATACATAGATTGTCCCCCTTCAGAACAGGCTGGAGTCGGCTATGCGTAAAAGCGGCCCTTCGCTGGCGTGATTTTCGGTGCGGCCGACGGGCTGTCCCCCCTCCAGCATTGACTGGCGCGCTCGGATCTGGCCTCCCTCGCCCTCGCCCTACCGCGAGCCCTTGAAGCAGCGCGCCAAAGGTTGCTCGTGCCTAGGGTCACTCTTGCGTGCAGCCGAGGAAGGGGAAGGGTGAGGAGGAACGAGGGGGAGGACAGGGATCGGATCGATTCGGTCGAAAAGGAACGTCAGCAACCGCAGCGCCGTCTGGGGCCCCATCCGTATGGGCCGCAAGTTTCGATCATCGTGCTCAAAAAAACATGTCTAGCAGAGTTTCTGTGCCGCCCTGCCCGGCGACGAAAAAACACCGCGGCCCCAACCAACCACCCAGGCCAGGGGCTCACTAAATGAGCCCCCGTGGTGAAGCTTCCCTAGTACGAACGCCTTCAGGGGGGGAGGAGAGGAGCAGAGGGAGCGGGAAGGCCGAGGGCGGGCTGGGGCGGTCTAGGCTGGCCGATGGGAGGGGCCGAGGGGAGCATCGGGCGGGGCCAGGACAGAGATAAATATTTCCAGAGCGTTCAGGAACGTTCTCAGGACCTGCCAGGATTATATGAGAAGGCCGCGGCGCCCGATACATCCCCCAGAACCGCCAGATCTCAGAGATTACCGACTTACCCCTGTCCGAGTTGATCCTTGTCCTGGACGCCAAAGTTCTTGCTGTAGCGACCCCCCTGAGTAGTGGGGGTGAGTTTGTTCATCCCCGCGGGATTATCGTCTGCACTTCGCTCACACCGGGAGGGTAGTCATTTTCGTTTTGCTCATCCCCCGCGGGTAGTCGTCTACCTCCTGTTTGGCGCATGTTTTGAACATCGCTGTCATGCCATTTTGGCCTTAACAAAAAGGAAGCACTCACAAAAAGAAAAGTGCACATGAGAACGTTCTGTCATCAGTTACTGCGGTAGGTCTGACCCGTCGGAACGTCTGACTTGGAAACGAAACGCGGGCATCGTCACCTGAATTGCCAAAGGAGGCGACTGCCATGACCATCACAATCACCCCCACCAGCATGACGATCACAACCACCATCACCACTATCATCGTCACTACCATCATCATCTTCATCATTATTATTGCTATCATCATCATTCTCGCCGCTAGTATTCGCAGTGTCCTTATTGCCCATATTATCATTACCGTCGCCACCATCGGCAGCATCATCGCCATCATCACCGCTACTACCATCACCGCCAGCATTACCATCATCATCACCGTCATCATCATCACCATGAGGACGAGGAGCTTCCTGGACAAAAACAGTTCACGAGGGAGCGATGGGGAGGAAAGGGAAGATAGGAAACTGGCGCAAGGGCCATGCGAGGTGGTCTCGGACGAGGAAATCTGCTGTCCCTTTCAGTGGTGGGAGAGACGGGGAGAGGGAGGACGCGGGAGGGCGGAGTTGGGGTGAAAAAGGTGGGGGGGGAGTGAGGAGCGAGGTGGGCCGCGGTGATTGTGGAGGGGCTCCCCCCCCCCGCGCACACGCGCACATACGCACACACACACACACACACACACACGCACGCACACGCGCGCCCCGGCCCCGCTCAACCCCTCCCCCGGGCTGCCCCCCCCCCCCCCCCTTCGCGCACCCCCCCCAAGCCCACTCCACCCCTCTCCCCAATTCCCCCCCCACGCGCCGCGCACACATTGTTTTACGTCGCAGCGCGGCAGAGGCAATCCGCAAACGCGCTCGAGGGGACGCGCGCACACACACACACACACACTCGCACGCACGCGCACGCGCACGCGCACGCGCACGCGCACGCGCACGCGCACGCGCACGCACACGCACACAAACACAAACACAAACACAAACACAAACACAAACACAAACACACACACACACACACACGCGTACACAACACACACACACGCGTACACAACACACACACAAAGGCACACGCCCCCACCCCTCTCCACCACTCACCCGCGCCATCCACACGTCCCGCCATTCCCCATGAGGGGGGCACCCTCCCTCGTCAGTTCGTTTTCCAGCGCTGGCTTTCGGACCCTGTGGTTTGAGCCATAACGTCTACGGATAGTCGAAGAAACGTTCTCACATATCACAATTGGTTATGGAGCCTCTTACCCCGAACCCTTAAACAATACATACCCCATGCCTGTGATTTACAAAACGGTGAAGCATGGAGTGATCCACGGCCGTTTCAAGCTACAGCTCTCGCTTAAGATACCCAGTTTGAATGAGACATGCAACCATACGCTTCTGACCTACGACTTGCTTGCTCGGTTAGGTGAAATTCTGCGCATGAGCTAAAGATCGAGGATGCTGGAGGACGAGAAGGAGACACAGAACATAACGCTGCACTCGTCTTGTCTCCACTTCACTTCATCACATAAACAAGTCGTGTGCCTGGGTAATCTACCCAACGCTGCAACGCATGCCGTGGAAGTGGACGTTGTAGCCTGGTGGGTCATGAAGATTATCGATGTGACGCACCGCCCAGCCCTCCAAGAGGGTGACCTTCCGCTTTGCTGTGGCGCGGTAAAGAAGCAGTTGATCGAACCAGCCCTCCTTGGTAAGCCCATTTGCCAACACCTCCCATGTAGGAACGTGAAGAAGATATCTGGTGCGATGGTGAACATTATCTTCGCGCGAAGGGTCATGACTGCAACCCGTTGTGATTCATCCGGCGGCATGCCACGGCCGCTAGCAATCAGCTCGAAGGGGTCCATGCAATCCGTTACGGCGCTATGAGGAATGATAGCACTGTCCACCTGAATCAGTTGTAGCATGTCATGTGCCGTTTTGCGGAAGCACCATGCGACGGATCAGTTCCGTGATTCGCTTTGTTATAAGTTGTCCAACGTGTGTACATCCGATTCCTGATGACGTCGTTGCATGGGATGTAGAATGTGATACCTTTGGAAGAAGGCATTTTGCCATTCGCCACCATGACACCTTTGCTTCCGTACGTGTAGCAACTCTTCTTGCTTGCATGGCCGCCATCATGGACGTTGCTGAGCCTCAGTCGGCAGTCTTGTCGATGGTAGTGCAGGTCGTTCGTGTGCTTCGTCTTGCGCAGCTTTGCCAAAACACGATTGGCCGCCTTCAGATGCTGCGCCTGCGGGTGCACCATCTCAGACTGCAGCGCGACGACGTCATGCGCGATGCCTACCCCTGTAAGACACAGCCAGCGTAGACTGCACACAATTGGCCTGGACAGGTGATGCTCCAACTCATCCAACCCCCTGAACTCCTTCTGGACGTTGCAGTTGTTCGTGAACCTGGGAGCCGGCATCTTCTCGATATAGCGCTGCCGATGAAACGGCAGGCGCCTGGTGCTGGCAGCTTGCGCTCCATGCCCGGGTAGGCGAACGGCAGTCCCGTCCTCTTGGTGTCGCCGCATTTATTGCCAAGCTCCCTCGCGATGTGCAACAAAAAACCTTCGTTGCTGCCAGAAGTAGAGCGCAGTGGCACCACCTGCCACTTATTGATGATCATCAGAAAGCACTCGGCGCGGGTGCTCATCCCGTCGCAGATGTCGATCTTGAGGTAACGCAGCAGCGCAATCTGCCGCGGCAATGGAGACCCCATTAAGCCGTAGAGCGCCATTAGACATTGCTACATGAACAGCGGGATGTCGCCATCCACCACCTCGATGGAACTGCGCGCGTGCTTCTCAGTGCCAGATGTTCGCCGGCGGCGGAAACCATACCTGACTCGCCTCTTTGACCTCGCGCGCGGGCTTCTCGGCCTAGGCAGCGACCTCTGAGAACTTCAGCCCTCGGAGGAACGCCGTTGAGGTGCCGGAGCTCTCAGGCGCCAGGTCGACCTGCATGGCCATCGATCAGAGCGGTCGATGATTCAGGCGCGAGGCCGTTGAAGAGCGTCTGCTCACCGAAGTTCGCTGGCGATCCAGCAAGCCGCGACGGCGGCGCGTGAACTTGGCAACCCGCATCTGCCGACTCCATTTGCGGGCCCAGATGCCGCCCGCCACATTGGCGGCGCTGGGCGCCTTGTCGAGCGCGAAGACGCCCTGACTGCAGAGAGAGCGAGAGAGAGAACGAGAGAGAGATAGAGAGAGAGAGAGAGAGAGAGAGAGAGAGAGAGAGAGAGACTGCCTCCTAGTAGTCGCCAACATCAACGGCGCCCCGGTCGTCGATCACCCCCCGCGGCGCAAGGGGGTCGCCCGAGGAGACTGAGAGACGCTAGCACGAGCTCGTCCGCACGGGCGTCGTAGAAGAAACAAATGGGCCGATTCGCGGGCCCCGTCAGCACGGCGACCGCTGCGCCCGCGGTGCAGAGTAGCTCGCTTCGACCAGCCTGCTGGCAGATATGAAGGATCTGCTCGGCGTCGGCGATGGCCTGCGCGCAATATTCTTCGTCGGAGTGAGGCTGGAAGCCGGCGGGCGCCACGCCGCGGAGAGATTGCCCCAGTCGGTGGTTCCTTTGACAGGCACCAAACCGTATTTGATGACTCTGCAGCTCGAGCTTCTCCTAATTATACATGTCGACCTTGTCGCTCGTTGCTGGGCCGCAGTCGGTGGTCGCGTCTTTTCTGGTCGGCTCGGCAATTTGCAGGATGGACCATGATGCTGCAGGCCTCGGTGGCGCTGGCTCCGTTGACGCTCGAGCTCCTGGTGCATCTCGACCGTCTTGTAGGCCTTGCTGCGCCTCTCGCTTCTGAGCCTGAGCTCTCGGCTGCACTGGCGATGGGGGTGCTCGATGCCGCG